GTCTATTGCACCACAGAGGAGTTCGTAGGAGACTTGCAGTATCGCAGGATAGCAGGAGTACGTAACTACGTATGTCCAGATGCCATTGGCCTTGGACAGCATAGACAAAGTTCGACTGTGCAATTTGTCTTTGGATCTCTGAATCTTCCCGATCCTGTAGATTTGAATCGACATGAACCATCCTGTCAGATATCGCCCAATTGTCATTGATATCAGAGATGATTGAGTGGATATGACCTTTTCCTTCCAGATCTAAGGGCTTGTCTCACTTTGGATAGAGAGTTTAAGTCAAAGTGTGACGATGTTAAAAATGCATTGGCAAAGAATTACCCCGGAAAATTATAGTTGCCACTGTTATAATTAACATAAAAAAAAACTCTCTTTGCCCCTTCTTCCTCCTGCTAACCATAGCACAGGCAAAACCAGATGGGAAGACATGTGCCAGTTTGGGCATGGTGACTGGGTGTGCTTTGCCTAGAGGAGTAGTTGCCGTACCGTTTTCGGATAAGAGCACCACCCATCCATCGACATTCCAGCCCCTGGTGCCTGCCGAGGAACCCACCACCAATGCTTTTTACATTGATGGATGTGAAGGATGTTACGATGGGATGATAAGGATTGAGATTGGGGCCAATCATGGGCAGCATCCCGCAGGATTATCGGGGTTACGACTACAATAAATGGATTTTCTCTTGCAAGGAACGGTGGGCGACACAAGTCGTAGTACCAGTTCATCCTAGCTAACGTCGTGTGCAACTATCAAGTACGGTACTGTACTATAGAGGAACTTCGAAGAACACAGAGCAGGACTCTGAAATTTTGTGGTACATTGTATCCATAGATCGGGGTTGGATTCGCCTCGTGTCGAAATTCTAGACATTGAGATTAAGTTCTCCTATTATTGTTAATTGTTCTAATTTTTTTTTTAATTTAATTTTCTTTTTTTAATTCGATTGCCTCTCTTGCATTTTTATTTGGGTTTCCCCTATTCCCCTTACCGGTGGCTCTACCAAAGTTGAACCAACCACTAACCTGGAGAGCTTGCGAATCAATTACCATACGTGTAATTCATCTTATTAGGGCCTAAACTTGAAACAGGCACCCCCCACAGCTTCGACTTGTCACGTTTCGTTTTCCCGGCCTGCGATACACCCGCCGACCTGGGACCTTTCTTTCTTATCTGCCCTGCTTCGCTCACCGTTCTTTTCCATTCTTCTCTCTCTCTCCCTTCATCACTCTCCTGTCCTCTGCTTCTTAAATACTGCAGTTTCCCTGCAGCACTCTCTCCTTCTATGCTTAGCCTCGCCCGCAGAACCCTGAACCGCGTCCCCAGCTTCCAGGATATCCTACAAGGCAGGATGACCCACCCAGACATGTAAGTACTCGCGATACTCAGGGGCTTGTTTCGCAATGCACTGACACAGGGTCTTGCCCGACTACAGTTCCGTTGACGTTCTCGTCATTGGTGCCGGCCCTACTGGTTTGGGTGCCGCAAAGCGTCTTAACCAGATTGTACGATTCCCCATTCCTGAGCTGCGTCCTCCGAATAATATAACTGATTATCGTCGTTTTAGGATGGCCCCTCCTGGTTGATTGTGGACAGCAATGAGACTCCCGGTGGTCTTGCTTCCACCGATGTGACCCCCGAAGGTTTCGTATGTACTAAAATTCAATTGCTTCGTTAAGGCGGCATGGCTAATAAGGCGTTATAGCTCTACGACGTCGGAGGTCACGTTATCTTCTCCCACTACAAGTACTTCGATGACTGTATCGACGAGGCACTTCCTAAGGAGGATGACTGGTACAGCCACCAGCGTATCTCTTACGTCCGTTGCCAGGGCCAATGGGTCCCTTACCCCTTCCAGAACAACATCTCCATGCTTCCCAAGGAGGAGCAGGTTAAGTGCATCGACGGTATGATTGATGCTGCTCTCGAGGCTCGCGTGGCCAACACCAAGCCTAAGAACTTCGACGAGTGGATCGTTCGCATGATGGGAACTGGTATCGCCGATCTTTTCATGCGTCCCTACAACTACAAGGTCTGGGCCGTGCCCACCACCAAGGTACGTTGATACTCCGATGGACAGATAAAGTGCAATAGAAGACAGACTTTCTGATGGTGCACGATCTAGATGCAATGTGCCTGGCTCGGTGAGCGTGTCGCCGCGCCCAACGTCAAGGCCGTGACCACCAATGTTATTCTTAACAAGACCGCCGGTAACTGGGGCCCCAATGCCACCTTCCGTTTCCCCGCTCGTGGTGGTACTGGTGGTATCTGGATTGCCGTCGCCGACACTCTTCCCAAGGAGAAGACCCGTTTCGGTGAGAAGGGCAAGGTTACCAAGGTCAACGCCAATAACAAGACCGTTCAGCTCGCCGATGGCACCACTGTCGGCTACAAGAAGCTCGTTTCCACTATGTCTGTGGATTTCCTTGCTGAAGCTATGGGTAACCAGGAGATTGCCACCCTTTCCAAGGAGCTCTTCTACTCCTCCACTCACGTCATTGGTGTTGGTATCCGTGGCTCTCGCCCCGACAGAATCGGTGACAAGTGTTGGTTGTACTTCCCTGAGGACAACTGCCCCTTCTACCGTGCCACCATCTTCTCCAACTACTCTCCTTACAACCAGCCTGAGGCTTCCAAGAAGCTTCCTACCCTCCAGCTGGCTGACGGCTCTAAGCCCGAGAGCGATGAAGCCAAGGAGGGTCCTTACTGGTCTATCATGTTGGAGGTCTCTGAGTCTTCCATGAAGCCCGTCAACTACGAAACACTCCTTGCCGAGTCCATCCAGGGTCTCGTCAACACCGAGATGCTGAAGCCTACCGACGAGATCGTCTCCACATACCACCGCCGCTTCGACCACGGCTACCCCACTCCCTCTCTGGAGCGTGAGGGCGCCCTCACCCAGATTCTCCCCAAGCTCCAGAACATGGACATCTGGTCTCGTGGTCGCTTCGGTAGCTGGCGCTACGAGGTTGGCAACCAGGACCACTCGTTCATGCTTGGTGTCGAGGCTGTGGACAACATTGTCAACGGCGCTGTTGAGCTGACCCTCAACTACCCTGACTTCGTCAACGGTAGACAGAACACTGAGAGGCGCCTGGTTGACGGTGCTCAGGTGTTCGCTAAGGGCAAGTCCCTGTAAGCAGCACGGACTGCGCGATCACTATAGATCATGACTCGTTTAATATTGAATGATTCAAGGGGTAAAATCTTTAGATATACATTATGGGCAACGGGAGCCACTAATTTCTTTTGGAGCGATATTTGGGAGATGTTCATTGCTGGGCATTTGATGTGAATCAGCGTCTTCTACATTCTTGCTAGATTCTTTTTCTAACTATAAATTTTTTTTTTTTTTTTTTGTTTTTCCCTTTTTCTTGACTCTAGACTTGGAACAAGGTCCGTTCTGCGCTGGTCATGTCTTACTATTCAGAATGTTTGATATATAGCTTTTTGGGGATCCTCAAATATCAAAATACCCTTGTGTTGCATCGGCATGGTTCTGTCTTCATCGTGTCCAAATCCTGACTCTCTACCACAAGAAGAGGGTGTGGTATGGCATCGTTACGGAACAAGTGAGCATTCCAGAAAGCCTAGGATGCGTAATGTTGAACATGTTCAACCATCCCACGAGGACCATGACCCAGTGGATCTTCCCACGCACAGGCAAAAATGCCGAGCTACCCATTTCTCTCCGTACGGAGCTGTCCGCCCGGCACTTAATACAGTGGGTTTGATTCAGATAACACAGAGTACTAGCTCACTTACCAAATTCGGTACACAGCTTTTACCCTTCAGGTGGAGGGCACTAAATAAGGGTCCTCCATGTTAAATTACGATAGACGCATCTAGTCTGATGGCATGGACACTATCTATGCAAGAGGTACTCCGTCCGTAGACGACTACTCAAGCTCGGGTACTGGGATATATCAAGATCTGCAGAACTATTGATTGCTTGAGATGCACACACCTCGAGATTTAATTAAGTGCCGACAAGGTCATGACCGTCGGTCAGAACTCGTCGTCGACTGGGACTGGGTACTACTACTAACTAAGCTAACATCCCTACGAAATGCCGATCTCCACATCCAGTCTTGTATCATCCAATCGAAATCGTGGCGGGTAGGACGCGTAAGGTCTCCATACTAATATGATCTCATCGTCGCTATAATTAAACCATCGTCTGTAGAGTCGGAGATAGATATCAGCTGTCCCCTTCGTGGAACTTAAAAATCAAAAGGGTAATGTGGCCAGTTGTTAATTTCCGTGCTTATTGTGGCCATAACGGGGTGATTATGAGATATAATGTTGCGTATTCTAGAATTGTAGGTAATCTTTTATATTTTCTAAGACTTTTTTCTTTCTATTATTTCTTTCCCCCCCCCCCTCCTTTCTAGAGATACATGCATTGACTGCTCATATTTTACCAATGATCTACTGAGAAATATCTGGCTTGTTGGCGCATGTTTCATCCTCGCATATAATGTCAGAAATAGATACATCTGACAGTTGCGTGTCTCAGTTTAGAATCCCATACACACTCTCTTCGACTGGCCGATATAAAAAGAGCTCATATTGATTGGTCAGACAAATCAACAAGTACATGGGAAAACCCTGACATCATATTATATTTAGGTACTTTTATTCTTGCGGTTTATTTCCTTGCATTTGGCGCATCCTTGCTGTCCCTTCTGTCTCAGTCCCACGTCATAGCAATCATTCAGATGTATCTGCACGCACCTCTGGAAACTTCGATCGCATCTAATGGAGATATCCTGATAAATCCCCGATAAGCCCCAATGTGCGGCTCATTCCATAGAAAACCCTGGTAGATTGGGGATTGTAATGATATGATCGTTTTTGGTGGAGTCTATAACGGACAGTCTTTTCCAGTGGGTTTATAGGAGAGTCGTAAATGTGACTTCAATGGTACATAGTGGTAATCTTTCCCAGCTTTTATTTCTTACTTTTTTTATAGTGAAAAGCTTAATGAAACTGATCTGACCAATTGGATAACGTACGTATACGTATTATATGCCTTCATACGTATAGGGTAACCACCATTCTGAATATAGCGGTTTATGATAAAAAGTAACAAAAGGCGCACCTGAATACCTGATATCCTTAATATAGCACTCCAATACCACAGTAGTATACTATATCCTCACTGCTTAGAGTGTCACTAAGTTGGATGGCTGCTTTCCCTGCTCTTTGTATGTGATATGAAAGAGACAACCTCGAAGTATTTAGCGAAACTAAGCTCACGTATAGACCATAGAAGTACCGATCTCTAAACACGCTCGCCCTTGTGATCGAAACATTTGAGGTAACCATGATCATTCGATATAAGACCGTCTTAAGTTCATTATTAGAAGAGGCACTTGATTGTATGTATGTGAGAGGAAGGGAAACTCACCAAGTTTAAATTGCGTTCTCTGGACTACGTGCGGTTCATCAGCACGTTCGCAATAAAGCTCTGGTGGACCACGACGAAAAACCGACACGGAGCATTTAGAATAGTAGCCGAACCCCTTCCCACTGTTTATAGTTAGCTAGGACATCTTTGAAAATGTGTTTTGTAAAGTAGATTAACAGCACCCGGCCGGGGGGGGGGGAGGATGCATGCTCATTCTGCGATTTGTACTGGGCATAGCAATGGTTCAGATCCAATTTGGAAGTAATTTCGGTCCCATCGCCAACCGCGCAGGTTGCAAGCAGGTGATGCCGCGCATCACCTGGGTCCACGTCGAGCTTAATGTCTTTGCAGGAGAAACTGAAGTTACCTGCCTTCGGGTCAGCGGGCTCTGTTGGTTACCGAAACAATGGCGTAGCCAGGGTTGCCAAAGGCAGAACGATGAAGGGTAAAAGTAGACGCATGTTATGTGTATCTTTGAGTAAACTGATGATAGTGAGCTGGATGATCTGTATGCTTCTCAAAGGGCATCCAATAGGACCTATTTATATTATCTTCATTGTATTGCTGTTGGAGTAGACATTGTATCTGATAAGCGGCTTGTATACATAACTCATAAGATTTCACACTCCCAGTGAAGAGTATCTCTTTGTTAACCTATATCCTGATGCCCTATATTTGTTGGGCAAACTGGGCAACGCCACAAGGGCACTGAGACTATGCCTTTAATTTAAATCTTCAGACAAGAGGAAATCTCTTCCGCTGCGATTATCGAATTGCCAAGCCCTCCAGTGTGCAAGAACTGAGAAGGCGTACAGTGTTCTTGCAAAGACTCCCCAGATTCGAGGTATGAAGGCGGCGGGCAATGAAGAACTCAATCTCAAGATATCCATATTAGCGAAAACGGGCAAAACAATTGGAAGATAACACGGACACAAATGGGGTAAGATCACAAAGAGATGGTCTTCTAAATTTTGCCATCTTCTCCTCCGGGGAAAATCTCCCCCAAGTTGTTCAAATAAGCGATACATAACCGCGCCCAGCCGGACATGTAGTCTTCCCATTAGGCTCTAGACGCACCGTGCTAAATATGGCAGCAGTTCTATTTTGGAGTAATTGAGATTGTCTTTGAAAGAACATATTCGTGCATTCCTAGACACTAACTGTTTTGAGCAAGTCATCTTCAGGTGTACTCATGTTCTGTGGTTAATGCGATCAGTTTGATTTCTAGTGATCCTGTGCCCTATTACCTTAATTGGTACATACGCAGTAGATTTATAATGATGTTCCGGTTTTGACCGAACGCCGTCTCTCTGGGGGGCGGTGGGAAAAGCTCCCTAATTAAGGTGGCGGTGTGCATTTAATTTTACTAAGATTTGTTCCACGGTTGGTAACCACGGTTTACTCCGTTGCCTGATCTATCATCCACCCGGTACAGGACTGGACGATGAGGATTGGGGAAGACGCACTTATTTCTTTTGATCTCTGTATTGGTCACTGCAAGGGTCTAGATACTACTTAGGTGATCCTTCACCCCAATCCATTATAAGCCAGATCCAGACCACACGCTTAATGTGAAACATATGTTGCGGTTGATCTATTATTGGAAGAAGTAACCTGGAACTTGTAAGACACCCGGCTTATTATGGGTGCTGTGAAATTGTGTGAATTCCATCCGACCCATTCCAGAAGCTTGCCAGTCCCACCCAAATCTAGGTGCCTCTGTACCATTCACCCAATGGTTTCCGCCTAAGCGAGGCCAGTCCAAAATCGTCAGCCTTGTCTTCGACTTGATGATAGAGCCCAGCCATCATATTGTTGACTTGATCCTGAAATTGCATAGATGCCCGCATGACATGCTGACTTGGCTCTCGTTCCTATGCAACTAGTCAATGAGAGAGAGAGAGAGAGAGAGAGAGAGCCCAAAGGGCCATGAAAGACTTACTTTACCGGCGGGCTCCAAGCGGCCGCCATGTGGATCTACCACATTATCTTGTCCACCGTGCTCCTTTGGACTCGTAGACACCACCAAGTCTGGTTCTACAATAGTCTCCCCTTCGCATTGACTGTTAATAAGACCTCGCAGCGCTGCGTCAGCTTCTCGGTACAACATAGCGCCAATTCGATCCATCTCTTCTTTAGAGAACCTCAAGGCGTTAGGCTCTGCCGCGCCATCCTCGATCTGAAACCAACGAAATGAAGCGGTTATCAGTCCCTGCTGGAATTTTCTCTACCGACTGCACATACCTGTGTGGCGGGCAGTGGAGGCCCAATTGCGGTAGCACTGTTGGATGTGCCTTTGCGGTTGTGTGTGTATGACGCGTCATGCGGATCACATTCAGTGCTGGCAGACAAGTTGCGCTCCTTATACATATCATATTCATTGCCTTCTTTGTTTCTGCCAATAATCTCGGGAAGAGGCCTTGAGCTTCTTTTACCGGATCTTGCCCTGATATTCTTATTTGAAGTTATGTCTAAGGATGCCGCATCGCAAGTTTTATGCGGTAGCTCAGCTTCCGAAATTTGGGATTCGGTATCAGAGCCCTTGTTATGGCGGACTGTAAGTCCAGCCTGTTCGCTATGTGATGGAACAGACGTGTCGATCTTACTACCTTCTGTAGTCTTGAGGGTCTTCCTTGCAGGTTCTGTCATCGGGCTTGCTTGCAAACTGGTGTTCTCATCTAAACATATGATGGTAAGGCAATTAGGGGACTGAGCTGAGCCTTCGAATTGTCTGGGCACTATCGTCTTTGCGCGAGGCTCGAAGTCGGCGTCAGGGCTTCCTGATTTGGACAGGGTTTGGGCATGTCCTGTGTTGTCTATCAATCACCTTAGTAGCACGTTTCAGTCACGCACATCGGAAGGAGGGAGGGGGGTTGCTTTCAAGTACCAGTTGTGTTCCCCTCGCCTAGGTAGGAGTTGTTATCGGCCAGAATTCTGTGTGCTGAGAAAACTGCAGGAAGAGTCATATCAGAGATATTTGTTTCTTGTGGGTAATAACACAGGGAGTGTTCTGAAGTGGTGTGATCTCCAGAGGCCACAAAGAACTGTTTCACCTTTTCCCATGCTGTGTTGATGGAGTTTTCCCATCGCGATAGGGACTTTCTTGATAAGGCCGAGAACAGAGAGTGTGCCTTCAGTGAATGATATAGCGGTTCGGCACAGCATGCCACTAGTGGCTTGACAGGAGATTGCCAGTGAATGCCTTTTAACAATGACCCTACCCCAAGATAACCAGTGTTAACAAAGGATTGGTAATCCTCGATTGCAACCAGCGGATCTGGTCTCTCCACAGCTGCAATAGTTAGTGATGATGATTGGTTTTTATAGGTCATACCGCCCCATTGTGATTCTTCAGATAGAGATAGGCTATGCGCCTCAATGGATGGGGATACAGAGGAAAAACGGCGATTTCTGTGCCAGCTTTCATGTGATGGGCTCTCGCTGAACAGTGAATGCAAATCTTTATCACGGCTGGACTCATCAGAGTATGCATATGGAGAGAAGCTATTCGAGTCTACAGATGCACTCTTGTTGTTCTCACTGTCGCTCTGATCTGTATCTTGCTCCTGCCGTTCAACGAACCTAGTATGCCGCAAGAGCAATCTTTCCAGACAATCGTGGACATCACTCTCCTCAAGTGTAACACGGGTGGGTTTATATCGAATCATAATGTCTGATGATACCGTGGATATAATATTTCTCTCAATGCGAGCAGCCCCGTCAATCAACGATGAGAGGATGGTGTAGTTGGATATGGTAACTTATAAGGAAACCTTTCTGTATATTGAAGCCAATAGGCACTGTTAAGGAATAAATTGTTGCAAGTCACTGCTATGGAGATTACAGGTGTGGAATCTTCAAGGAAAGTGCGATGGTGAATCTGTATACAATATGCTCCTAGTATGTATGCCTTACAAAGGATGATTCAGTATTCTACTAGATGTATTTTTATCGCATTCCCAATCTAGGTAATAGTTTCTCGTATTTGTCTCTTCTAATTTTTTCGTATTCATCTTTCTTCGAGTCACGATGACCCTTTTAGTGCAGACTACAACCATGGGATAGATATATATATATCGTGGAAGTGGAGCCGTGGCTGTACCTTGTAGAGGTGGTTAGTTTGGTGGGATGGTATTTTGATGAGTTTTATTTTAGTTATTTAGAATAAGTTTAATAATAATAATATGATCGAAGGAACATGTGTTTATTCGACCAAGCAAATGACAAAGCCGAGGTCAAGAGAGTCTGCAGGACCAATCTAAATTACTTGAACAGAAAAGAAGAGAAAAAAAAAATAAGAATTAAGTCGGATGATGGATCTTCGGACACTGCCAGCTTGTCTCCAGGCAGTCACTTATTGACTACTACTTTACTTACTAGTACTGGAAAAGCTATGGATGCGATGCTAATAATAAACTGATTTCCCAAAGGAGGACATCCTGAGAACCTCAGGCTGCCAACCTTCAGCCTCTTTCTTGAATCTCCTCTTTTTTACCTCCTGTTCTCACCCCTCGTTCACCTCTATAGTTCTTTTTTTTTTTTTTTTTCCCCGGTTCTTCTTTTACTTTACTTCCCTCTTCTCCATTCGTAATCCGATCGTTTCGTTTCGTTTGTGTTTCTAACTCTTTTATTCCTCTTGAATTTTATTCTGGATTTGAAAGACAGTTCAGGATAGAAGTTCTATACTCACGACTGTTGTTGTTGTTGTATCATGTATCATCCGCAACTCCCCCGACCGCCGCCATAGTCCATCGGCCACCCCTCTATATTCACAGGAGGCTCTCTACCCTATTATTATCTCTCTCCTACACTCCCTTTCTTGACCACCACCATTTCCCCTCATCCTCATCCTCCTCTTTTCCGCTCTCCATTCCCTTTTATTTCCCTCACCGTCTCGGGTAATACGGCGTGGTGGGTTCTCTGGTTATAACCCGCACCCAAAAACCCGTCCCACCCCCCCGTATCTCTTTTTCCGTCCCCCTTTCGACCTCCACCGTGATCTCTCCATAACCACCTATGCCCATCATGGATGGGGATCTCAGCCTGTCCCAAGCATTGGGAGGCCTACGGATTGCAAACCCGGATGATTCGTCGTTACATTCGTCCGAGGATGCGACCACTCCCGCCCCGACTGCTGCTTCTGAACCACCAGCAGATTCCGAACCTACGCGCGAATCGACTCGGTCCGAACAACTAGACAATCCTCTGTCGACAACACCACCCCAGCCATCGATACCACCCTCCACGGAATATCCTCATGATGCTTCGGCTACAATCGAGCCGTTCCCTAAGCCAGCGGAGAATCGAAGTTCAACATATCTTCCTCAGACCGATTCACCGCAGCAGCCTGCCCAACAATCTCCCGCTTATATCTCCCAACAACCATACCCTCAACCATCACAACAAAACCGCTCTTTGGGCTCCTCTCGTCCTTTGTCGGGCCTCTACGCGTATGCGAATGGGTCTACGTCGACATTAGCGGCCCGGGAGGGTTCCTATCGGATTCGTACTGATTCCGCTGCATCGTCCGCTTCCGAAAGCCTGGCCCGGGCGGAATCCCGTGGTGGTTCAGCAGCTTACCAGGCAGGAGTGCCGGTACGCGATAATAGTCACAGTGATCGGTCATATCGAACAGCGCAGCTACCGTTGGGCAATGGGCCCATGGTGATGCGCCAGCCGTCCCGTGCTCGCGCACGCCCGTCAGGGGCTCCACAGCTCACCGGGCCCCCGTATGGAGTGGAAAATGGCCTATCTTCGAACGGCGAGGACTGGCATGACCGAGGTGCCGCTGTTGCGGTGAGGCAAGAGATTGATGCCAACGGGAAGCCCGTTGCTCGTTATATCAAGAAGGGTGTCCGCGACTTTTCGTTCGGAAGCACACTTGGGGAAGGCTCCTACAGCACTGTTGTCCTCGGGACAGATCGTCAAACGCTCAAGGAATACGCCATCAAGATCTTGGACAAAAGGCATATCATCAAAGAGAAGAAGGTGAAATATGTGAATATCGAGAAGGATACCCTCAATCGGCTTACCGAACATCCCGGCATCGTCCGACTTTATTATACCTTCCAAGATGAACGCTCGTTGTATTTTGTGTTGGACCTTTGCAAGGGTGGTGAATTGTTGGGGGTGTTGAAACGCATGACCACTTTCGACGAAGAGTGCACGAGGTTCTATGGGGCTCAGATTCTAGACACTATAGACTACATGCATAAGCGGGGCGTTATTCATCGCGATCTAAAGCCGGAGAACGTTCTCCTTGACAGCCAGATGCACATCAAGATAACAGATTTCGGTACGGCAAAGATTCTCAAGGGCCAGCGCAAACCAGATCCGAGCACGAGTGGGATGCCGCCATTGGAGTCGACAGACATCCCTGAAGAAGAGCGTGCAAGCTCCTTTGTTGGTACGGCTGAGTATGTCAGCCCCGAACTATTAACGGACAAGAATGCGTGCAAGGCAAGTGACCTGTGGGCATTCGGCTGCATCATTTATCAACTCTTGGCTGGTCGGCCTCCATTCAAAGCAGCGAACGAGTACCTGACTTTTCAAAAAATCGTCGGACTCGAGTATGAATTTCCTCTGGGCTTCCCTGCTGTTGCGCGTGACCTTGTCGAGCGTCTCCTTGTATTGGACCCGACTCGTCGGCTGCCAATCGAACACATCAAGAACCACGAGTTCTTCCGGGGGATGACCTGGGGCCCGGACTTGTGGAAACAAAAAGCGCCCCGCCTCAAAGCTTATGTCCCTCCACCCCGCGAGCCGATAAAGTTGAATGGAGCTGGTGAAGGGGACGCCTTTTCTGCGGGTATCAATGCAGGACCATCAAGTACCAACAATGCCAATCCCAGAGTTGTCCCCAGGCTTGTCACGGAATTGCCACCTCCAAGCCAGCTTGATATTGAATGGTCGCCGGTGCTTACTAAAAGCAATGAAAGGATATTGAAGCTGGGAAACGTCTTGGTACTGTCTTCGCCAGCTGTGCATAGCCCTTCCACCAAGAGTGGGGGTGGTGAGAGCGAAGCGCCGAAAAAGTTCTCCCGCTTCTTCGGAGGAAGCACAACGAAGAAGCGGCAGAGGCTGGTCATGGTCACCTCCTCTGCACGTATTATCATGGCTGCGGCTGGTGGGGATGAGAAAAAGGCAAAGCTGGAGGTTTCCTTGCTATCTCCAGGAACACACTGGCGCGCCTCAACGGATTCGAAAGGTTTCTCTTGCTGGGTTGTTGACACGGTATGCTTATCTTTACATGTGACATGGGCGAACTAATACTAACCTGCGTGTGTAGCGTGATAAACATTACGTTTTCGAAGACCCTAAACCATCATCTAGCAACGCTGGTGCAACTGCTGCCAACGCGCAGGAATGGGTGGATTCTCTGGATCGTGCACGAGAGATGGCTTTGACCCAGCAAGCGAATGGGACATACTCGGGTGACGAGGCTTTCCGTGACATATCGTCCGAGCTGTCGAGCCACGCCAACACGTTGGACCGCAATTCTGAGGTTCACCACGAGAACCCACCTGGACGAGCCACTCTAGTTAAGCAGCAGCCTACAGATTCGGATTCCGTCAAAGGGAAAAAACGGTTCAGTAGACGTCATTCAAAGAATGGACTGGCAGCTGTTTTCTAGATAACATGCTCGTCAAAACTTACACAAGGCCTCCCTCGGCCACAGCCGCAGGTTGAATTTTTCCAACCAATGTCTGAGCGTCACATTTATCTAACATCTCCCGCGTCTGACATCGGGGTTGGTTACTGCGCAGGATCGCAACTTCAAAATTTCTTTCTCTGGTCCCGGACTATATCATAGCTTCTTTGTTTCTACCTGATGTCTCCGGGATGATGTGACTTGCATACTTTCTATTGTTGACAGGTCTTGGGAGTATCGCTGATATGGACCCTCAACCAGCCACTGTTATTTCCTTTGTCGTGCATTTGTAGCAATTTCTTTTGTGATGTGATTTTCCATTTTGCCTTGCATCTTTGCAATGATGAGCGTGTTTCTCTTCTTAAGATCGCTGCATTTAGATGGGCAGGAGTACGCATATATCCCTCATCTGGCATCTATTTTTTTTTTCTCGTTTTGTATTGCCTGGCTTCCTCTTCTGTTTACCTTCTCCCTTCCTTTTTTTCCAACATCATTCTCTCCTCTACATATTGAGATATATATCTTCGCTTGGTCGAAACAGACGATCCACAAAGCCTTGTCGGATAATGCTTTGTCGGTGTACAGAGTTGAATACAGAAAACAATCAGGATAGCCCCCTTTTTCCGGCTCCGACAGATCCTTATCTACCCATTCCTGCTTCAGGTTCCGTTTGCTATTATACCATTCGGTTTGTTCCACTGAGCGGATTGTTTTTTTTCTTTTCTTGTTTTCTTTCCATAGGAGCTGAATTGATTCCCCTACTATGCGTCTCCACCCTGCCAGATTCCCCATCTCCATGTTCCCTTCTCCTTGATTTCACCCATATGCATTTCCATTCTTGTTAAATAATTTTTCCCCCCTTCAATGGTACTTCAGATAGTCGAATTCAAATCTTCCATTCTGGTTGGATATCTTTTGTTACTTCCCACCACTTGCTGTGGACTTGCCTCTATATATATCTGGGACTGCTTGGGAAAAATCAATTATCTGACCTATTATGATGTTATATTTTAAAAATAAAAATGTATTTCTTTCAACCTTAAAGAAGCCACCGAGAAAAGGGATATCTAACCTAAAATAATATTCAATATGTACATCCGTAACATCATACTCATGATAGAAGGCATTATATATAGTGTAGAATAGGATCATATAAACAACCAATCGATCCTCGAATCATCCAATTCCTGAATCCAGTCGAAATCATCCTCATCATTATGAACAAAAGACCCAAAGGGTTCATCATCATGCTGCTGCTGCTGCTGCTGTTGAGCCCGTTTCGAGTCCCGCTTCTGCCACATCAGACTTAGGACCCAGGCTGCGTTGCGGACGTTCACGGATGTGACGTCGTAGTAGATTGCGCTGAGAGTCTGGAGGAGGATTGGGCGGAGAGAAGGATCGGTGCATTCTGCACCGGCGATGAAGGTGGGCCAGATGAGGCATTTGAAGTGGTCGTCTGCGACGGGAATTAAGGGGATTTGCTGGATTAGAAGGTTGGTGATTGCTTTGTGGTCGGGTGGGAGGCCTGGGATGGTGGATTTGGCGCGGCCGTGGGCGCGAGGACGGGAGAGGACACGGCTGGTGTAGAGGTAGACGGCGGAGCGCCAGATGGTTGCTAGTGCGGTTCGGACGGAGAGGTCGGGGAGGTGGAGGAAGCTTTGCATTTCTTCGGCCCAAGCGACTGGGTCGAAGGCTTGAATGTGTTGAAGGAGGACTGTCGGGGGTTGAAGGAGGGGATTTGAGCCCTTCGGGAGGAATGTCGAGGAGTAGATCATGGCGGGTGGGTTGGTGCTTGGGTCTGGGTCGACGCACCAGCCTTCGTGGACGAAGAAGATGACTTCGAGGAGGTAGGCGGGGCATCCTATCCAGGCGGTTTCTTCGAGACGTTTTAGGGTTTCCGGGCCCATGTCGGAGGAGTAGAAGGGTTTGGAGAGGGAGCCGGGCCTTGCGAGGGTCGCGCCCATGACTTGCATGCTGGGGAGAGATAGTTAGCGGGGAGGATGAAGGCAACATTTCTGTGATTGTTGACATACATGAGACAGCCATCAAGTACGAATGCGTCCAACCAATCGATCATACGTTGTGTCGGACTAGATGGGCCTTTGCTTTGCCGGCTCACCAAGAGTTTCTTGACGCCTTCCAGATGATACTTCCATGCGCCGTCGCCTGATTCGATAGCATCCATCAACGCAAGGACCACAATCACTGCTAGCGTCTTGGTATCATTCTGTTTGAGAGGATCTTGCAAGTCCAGCGACAGTTGACGGAGAGTGCGTTGTTTCAATTTTAAGAATTGTTCATAGAACTTGGAAGCTGGGCGTCGTGACATGGAACTGATCACCGCCTTTTCAACATCCTGAGGGGATGGAAGTGCCCCGGTGACCGAAGCGCCATCCGACAGCCACGGTGTCGGTGAGAAGTCACAGCTTGCCAGCAACGCATAGTGTAGAGCCCCAGTGGCAGCAAGGGCTTGGGCGAGAACGGGGGAGTCACCCACTAAGACCGTTAAATCGCGGTACGGATTCCGAACGTTGGAATAAAAAGCGAGACAGCCCACTACATTCTGGTGGACTTCGAAGAGAAAGTTAGCTATATGCACCCGTGTTCTCTCTGCGGATAAGTGGTCTAGAACTCACAATGCGAAATGTAGAACCTTGATAGCGAATCCATGTCTTTGAATAAAGGATCAACCATTCCCCGCGGCGTGGGAACATGGTCCACCCCGGGAATTCTCGTTTCTGGAACAATCAAGTCGAAGTTGTTCCCCCACTGTGCCGCATCAGGGGCATTATCAAAGGCCGACGCCTGGGGCACATCGTACGAACCAGTATCCACATTGTCCTGACCCTGGGCGTCAACTTCGGGAGGTGGGGGATCGGCGGCAGCAGGAGAACCGTCGTCACTACTGCGATCTGAAGTGTTCTGCACAACATCATCAAAGCTGCGTCCCATCATCTTTCCTCGACTGGCCACACCACCTTTCACCCAGACGAGGGGTTTTTGATAGCCCAAGCATTCCTTCCCCGCATCTCGACACTTTCGACACGTAGGGAGGCCATTGTCGCAGATGATGCGCCGGCGACGGCAGGTGTAGCAGCCTTTTGTCATGGCTATTTCGAATCGATCGGGTTGACCGAGCCACTAATTCAGGGTTTAAGACACCTGGTTCCTAAGCAACTAACTTGAATCTATTCAAGTATATCGAAGTATGACGCTCGCCATCCTTGGGAAACGGCTAAGAAGAATCGGACATCAGCGGAAGATGGCTGCGCCACTCGGACATCGTCGTAGTCGAAGAAGGGGAAATAAAACCGCTGGGATGAAGATAGGAGGATTCCTCTGTAAAAATGCGCAATATTGTCGGAAACTTCGCGGGCGAGAGGGCGGATAAGCTGATACTCATCAGTCCTGTACTATCCCTTTTGCGGTATGGTCGCCAAGGTGTCCTTAAATCTAGCCTAAAAAGTTCCGTCCCTGCCTGATTGAGATGCCCAGGGCTTCTAGATCACATGCTGCTTCTCTACTTCTACGTCACATTAATGAAGGAAAAATCAATGGCAATATCAAATACCGCAGTGTTCCCGAATGAAAGGTAGCTGGGAAGTCCATTTGTGCTCGGGAACAGTCCTACCCGCACTACTTCGTAGCAACCAACTTCCACTGTTGGTTATTCTGTTTATTCAATGGGAAGACTAGCACAGGAGCACCATCTTCGTGGCTAATACCTTTCATATCAAGAACCGAATTAGGATGAGCCACACTATGGACGCTGCAAAGGTGTTTCTGTCAGTATATTGCTTTGAAGTATAATTATCCCTTCCTCAAAGGTCTCAAAGCCACAGAATCCAGGACATACAAGTAAGCTCCATCTTCCGCGTAGACAAACTTCCACCTGACATGCTTATCAGTTGGTGACTTGAGATCTCCGGTAGCTGGCTCTCTGTCTTTCTCTATGAAAAGTATAAGCTTATGTTAACTGGCAGGAAAGTTTCTTATCTTTGACATGATATAAATAAAGAAGGTGATAGTACCAGCCTTGTCCGCAAGGATGAGGTATTCGTCGTGCCCTACAGCAGCAACAACCCATTTCTGGTCCTCATGGTACTTTCATGCTCCCCTGTTACGAGGTTAACTGGGTTAGTTTTCACTCCGGGCACCATAGGTTACTGTACCATTGTTGGACTTTGGTGTGGCTAGTCTTCTTGGAATCGTCGAGGTCGAGGTATTTTTCGCTGTGTTGGACCTGAAACAAGTATAGGCCGGGACCGTTGAAGTTCCTTAATTGGTGCTGCCATGTTTGGATTGTTACAGGCAGAATGAAAAGCGTGCAACTAATGAGTAAGGTTGAGGTATGGATAGTCAACAGGGCAGAAGAGCCACATAGATGTATCTTTCCACCACTCTATCAAGGTGAGTATGTAAGCTCATTCGATCCAAGGGCAAGAGTTAGACTCAGTTGATGAGATAATTTGCAGCATTGTTAGAACTTCTCATTCGGCATATCATCCACTAGCTGCAATATGACTGCCCTGTAAGCTGATCTGGGGTCTTCGGGGGCTTGGAACTACGTTTAAAGGTGGGATCTGGTTGATCATGACCTGCATATGTACTCATCCAGCCCAAGTTGCAATATTACTGAGTCAACAATAGAATCTCTGTGTACACGAGATACCGGAGAGAATGGAATGATAGGGCAAATGGGTTTAATTTTTAGTGCTTATATAACTATCTTGGCCCAGCTGATAACGTGAAGATCCGGTGGCATGAAGCGGGGTAGCTATGGCTGATCAATCGAAGAGTATTCTAACGGTAATAATGAATCCATTTGTTGGTCAGTCAGACTTTCAGTGATGATAGCATACACTGACGTTTGAGATGTGGCAGGGAAGATCCTCTCATAGATCAGTTGCGGAGGCCATGAAAACATAGTAAACCAAAGCATACGCCAGAACTAAGATGCATAAGGTCTGGATATCAGTACAGAACCTTGTGATGCTTTACACGCGCAGTATCCTGAGCGCTAGGAATGAAGGTGTTGGGGTTCTGAACAAGGTCGGCGTGCGTTTGTAGGTGTAGTAGATTTAAGATTTCGAACAATCAAAGATACACTACAAGGAACCAGGACCAATGAGTTAGGAGGTAAAGCTACACTTTCTTTGCCCGCCTGCATCTTGGGTCTTGAGCCACGCTCGGTAATGTCTACGGAGAACGTTTGACAAGCCAGGCCATTCCAACCACAAGATGCAGCGTAGATCTACATGACGTCTCCTTGCCATCCGACATATTCAGCCCCTCATCGAAAAGATGGACGAGGGATATGCGAGAACGGCGAATCCACTAGTGGAAAGACTGACTCCGCCACCTCCTGTGTCATACTGGAGCTAAGCCGCCAGAGTCGTCCTCCAACCAAGCTGGAAACTGTCAAGGTTGTTCGGGGGAACAATGTACGATGAAGCATGGCCGTGTCGTCTCAGTAGATCTTTGAGAAGCCGAATATGTGATTGTATTCGCCCCTATGTCAAGTTCGATAACTGAACATTATTCATCCTAAACCGACTCTTTGAACCCGTTTCGCAAGATCAGAAGCAAAAAAGAGACCGTTTCAAATGCCACGTATGGCTCCAACGCAAATATGCATCACATTCTCAGCCTCCCTTCGCCACGGCGACCTAGGGGACTCCCGATCGCCGGACGATCAAACCCTCGCAGAGTGCGTTCTTTACGAGCTGGGGTTGGCGTTCATCTATTGTAACCATCAGCCTCCATCTCAAGTAGCCATGCCAACGATGTTATCTCCATCGCCTTCTCATACCTTGCGCTTGCCACCGGTCATGGTGACGTTGACGAAACGACGGGTGTAGATGATCCTCTTGCGGGCGCGGCCCTTAGGGGTCTTGGGCTTCTCCTGCTTGTCGACCTTGGGAGTGGCGGCCTTGACCTTACCGGCACGAGCGAGGCTGGAAAAAAAAGGGTCAGAATCTGAATTTTGGGGATATCTTCGATGGAGGGGTCGTGAGGCGAAGGGTTACTTACGATCCGTGGACCTATAACGGTGTAAAGTCAGTAATCAGCATTTCCCCTCGCGAGAAAGAAGGCCTGGACGACTTATTCACATACCTTACCCATGTTGACTGTATTTGGCGGATGAACGGGGAAAGGGTTTCGTTAGGTTCTGTCGATGGTGTTGTCGCTGATGATGCCGACGGATTGTGGGCTCGAATTTTTCAGTGTGGTCACGGGTTTGTGCGCTTGTGCGCTTGTTCGCTGCCCGGCTCCACTTATTTTAACCCGGAACAAAGTATTACCTCCACTGAGAATGCCTGGATGCCTGGGGATTACTTGGTAGCCTTGCTTTGACTCAGAATTCGGTTGGATTAATGTTGCTCCGGTTGTTTCAGACACCTTTCCTATTTAGGATTTACATCACGTGCCAACCGGTACCAGTTGTCTATTAAGGCATTAATTTGATGCCTGACTATCAGTAAAAACAGGTATCTCATTTCGTTCAGCGTTATATTTCTACTTCACTTTTGAATATGATCGACTTTGAATATAGATTCATGGGTGACACAGTAGGCTTATGATATGCCTTAGTGAATTTGGGACTGCCAGGACGTGAAGTTGACAAAATCATCAAGGGATTAAGATAAATGCTTGCCGATGTGTGATGCTTCCGTACTACGACGGGCTGGAGTACTCAATCCGGGAGGCCATAGGCGTATGATAAGAGTAACCTGCACTATGTAGCATGCATGTTTCTATAGTGCAACTATTGAATACATGCCGGGGAGTATCTGCCGTTGCCCAGCTTGGAGTTCAGGCTACAGATGGATATGTCTTAATTCCCTCCTCTTAGTTCCAGGTGAGTTGGCAATGACATTATGACTTTGGGGCATCGGTATCAAAGCCAGACCGAGAATCAACATTGTGGATATGGTCTCTAACAACCGCTAACCATGTCTGCGAGGCTGGTTGCAGGTCCCGCCATGCATCTGGACCAAAAGAGTGTATGGGATCGAACGGAATCGCAGCCATTGGGAGCGATGCATAGTAAGAAGTCTCCCACATGGGACCGTAACTAATACCAACAGCAATTCGAGGCAACGCGGCTGATTCAATAAGTGGAAGGAGAGGAACTGCAGTAGCTTTCTCACACAGATCGGGGACCATAGCGTACCTCTTAGGAACCCGTATGCTAGTGGGTATGGCGTTTTCTGGGCGAGCACAAACAAAAATAGCCAACCATTATAGTCTTATTAGTATTACTTACAATCTTGATATCCATTGTTACGCGGAATACATTGGCAGATGATCAATGGTTTACATTGGGGAGTACTGAGCAGGATCCAATCCACAAGCAATCTTCGAGAGGGGCTGAGAAGGTAGGGTTACTAGGGTAGGGTTACATACTACTGTGGCTATGTATTGGCATATATGCCTACTTACAGGGATCGGTGTTTCCGAGAATATGGGCAGATCAATTGCATGGGCTTGGACGAAACCAATCAAAGACAAACATTTAGCAAGCAAGAATTACATCCGGAAATCGAGCACGCAGACTCGGAAGTCAGCTCAACTGGGCGTAATGCCAATCTAACAGGGGAAAGAGAACCGACGACCCATCGTCAAGCCGGTCAGCCACCTGGCCCACATTGATTCGTATTCGCTATCTAGAGGCGTGATATTTGGGGAATATGTGCTGTCGTGTGTCGCGCCAAGCACAAATGCCCTAAGTACGTACTTCAAGTTCCGTCGCGAACCCCCCATGCATAACCCTCAGTGGACATGTTTGCTTTTGCTAATGCCAAGACAGCCTTGTAGGTCCACCTCGATCCAAGGACCCCAAGCCAATAATTTACATCTAGCGTCACTGTCAGTCGGCCTATATATCAACTAATGTATGGAAGTAGATCTTAACTCTGATGGTGGAGGGATTTAAGGCAGATTTCATACGGAGCAAAGGCATGAACCTCGGGGAAGGAAGCCTTCCAGTAGCAATCAAAGGCCTGAAATACACGTTCTAGATCTGTTAGATTTAAATAGGGTTCCGAAAGTATAATAATCGACGAACTGCCCTAAACTGCTCGGTCGGATGCTCGCCATATCTTAAGCGCCACTTTCAGCCAGCCTTCGGTGCGATTCATTTCCCATTTAGGAGGTTGCTGAAAGCACTGTGCATCGTTAGTCCTCCCCTATGTTTCGGAAACTACGATCTACAGTGGGTCTTGGTTATCCGAGCAATCCTTGTCACTCCTAAATCGTCTATACCATACAGTGCATGCAGTCCAGCGGCCTTTGAGCAGGTCAAATATGAAGAGCAAAGTTGCATGTGCAAGAGAAGGCGGCGAGCTCCATCAATAGTTCCCTTGGTGAACAAGAGAGAAAGATAATAATACCGCCGACCAATTTGCTGTCTTGCGGCCATAACTGTATGGATGCCCTAGTACTCAGGCATGGTAGTAGAAGTTCCGATAATAGAAAAGCTTCACTATGTACATCCGAGACGGTTCGATCAAAATGATTCTCGCTTGGACCTCCTTTCCTGGTAAGAACATTGAAGGGATTAATCAGCGACAGGGATTAATTGTTGCTACATTTATGTAAAACAAACAAACACTGACGGGCTAAGCAACCCAACTACTACTACGAAGGAACATACATGCAGGTAAACTCCACACAATCGATCTCAGCTCTCCACAAACCCATTTATCCCTCTCCCGTGTACGCCATTTCCGCCATTCAGTCCATGCACACCATTCACACCATTCACACCATTCACACCATTCACACCATTGACCCTCTTTCCCTTATGCGCTCCATTGATCTCCTTCGCCGATCCATTCTCGTGCACCCTGCGCTCATCGTTGCCAGGGTTCTCAGCCACGGGATCCTCGGGAGGTGCTTTTGGGCGCGCCAGACTTTTCCTGGCCCTCTTCAAAGTCGACACGACACTTGCGGGATTGGGCAGATTGGGGTTGTCCCCACCCTTTTGGGGGATTGACTCTTTGTCTAGAATCCCCGCTTTGACCATCTCGTTCACACTCGAATGGATCTTGGCCTCTACTGGAATATCCCGCGGGGCTCCCAGATTGGGAGGGAACCTCCTAGGAACCCACTCTCCTTTCTCCAGCTCTAACCGCGTGAAGATAGGTAGTATCTCTGCCAGATTTTCAGTCATTATAGTCACAACGCAAAGAAAAAGAAAAGAAAAGAAAAAAGACGGATGCATACCTAGGATCCACCAGAAGATAACCATCAAGAAAGCCGATGCATGTCCGAACCAGAGACAATCATGTGGCTGATTAGTGCGACGCCTCACTTCCCATGCATTAGTCCCTGGCTCCTCCTTCCCAGGAAAGACACTTTCAGCTCTCAGGACATCTTCGACATTAGTCGTTTGAAATTCTAGCTTACTTTCCGAGCCCTCCAGGTGTAGAACTTCCTGGACCATCCAATTCAATGGCGTATCGGAAAGCAAATGTTTCTGGCCTTTCTGAAGATTGTAGCCACCGCCCACGTCGCAGTGATTTCCCGCAAACCATACTTCCTTGAAGTCGGAATCGGGCCCATTCTTATCCATCATGTAGAGAGCGGGCTTGAACTTCAGCCGTCTCTCATGGATAGACACCGCGTGTCGAATGTATTTTGCGGCTGGAGTCGCGATGTATCGATATGAGGTGCGGAAGAAGGGGATCTCAAACTGACCCACACTATTGACACAGTCGAACAAGCCAAGGAAGTGTATACCCACGCCCAGTCGGCAAAAGGTTATCTTGAATTTCTTCATGAACTCGTTCAGCTCCCGATCCTTTTCGGTCTGAGGAACATTGCCGCGGGATTGTTCATAGTTACTGAACGTCTCCCAGGCAAAGTGAACCATTTCCTCATTTCCCCTGGACAGAAGGCCCAATTCATGGACCATCTCCGCGAGGAATCGCGCAGTGTAGGCACCACGAGAGAATCCAAAGATGTAGATATGATCACCTTCAGAATAGTAACGCATGAGAAAACGATAGCCGGCAAGGACATGATCGCTAAACGATGAGCCAACTGCTTGATCAACAGCACTGATAATCTTGGATTTGATCTTGGGCCAGAATCGAACCAGTCCAGAGCTGGAGGACTGGCCTTTGACATAGGTCCCGATACCCGCTGGCAATAGGGTTAGTATACGGTTATCTGGCAATGACTACGCATGACTTTGCAACATACGTTGATAATAGTGAAATTGATTTGAAGAGTGTCGATCCAGCATTTGATAAATCTTCATGATATTTGTGTCTGATTCATTTCCTTGGAACTGATTGCCTGTGCCATCGAAACACAAGACAATTCGACGTGGGTTGTCCCCATGGGCATCGTTTTCGCTTGTCGCGTGTGGCATTGTGAGGTACGAGTTCAAGAATACAGAGTACCAAGGGTAAGAAGGCAGTATCAAGACCGAGAGACAGTGTTGGGTGACCGGAAATCCGGCAGTCCCAGCTTATGAATTATCTTCCAGGGTCGAGGTGATGTTCCAATTGGGATACGAGTCGACGAGAGAAAACACATGTGATATCCAGCTTCATATTTCTTTTTCTCCTTATTTCTTTTTCTTTGTATAATGGAGAATATTATCACCCTAAGCAACGGACTTCGCCGCGCTGATCGGCTGCCATGCGTTTGTATGCACATCTTCCGGGTCTTAATGGCTGCAAACTAAACGCTAATTCTAGAGATAGATTTATTACTTGAAAGAATCGCTGTTGCAGAGATTTTCATGCAGTGCAACATGATGCACATCCATGCGAAGGATCGCATTGGTCAGATATGATGTAGTCATAGCCCAGATGCTCAGCTTGAACTTTCCTGTTCAAGAGGGGTTGTTGGTAAGCCCGCCAATGCAAACCAAGTTATTGGATTTGGAAGTTACTTGTGGCTGGCTGGATAGTCGATGTGGTTTGTGAAATATGTGAGTGGATGCGTGGTTAGCTTCAAGAAATAACTCCGCGGGCACTCGTGCAGCAGACTTACCAGGGTCTCAGATGCAAGCTCTTGGTAGAAAGAAGCAATTAACAACAACAACCCCCCCCAAAAGGAAATAGCTACTGTGACGTCTTATGCCGGGGGTCCTCAGCTTCCCCACATTAGGTACCCACTGGCACCAAAGTACGTCCGTGAGCTGATGAGCAAGGGGAGAACTGACTTGGCAGTCTGCCTCAGAGCAAGGGTGCAAGTGGAACTGTGGCAAAATGATCCAGCTTCCTCGTGTCGACCTATACACGATTGTCATATCTGATAACCCGAAGTTCATGACTGGGTTAGACCCTTGTCGAGAGTATCCGAACAAAAAAGTGGATCTCTCAAGGTGGAAGAACGGTATATAACCTGGGAGACCTTACGACCTTCTCCCATTGTTCTCAGAGACTCAAGATCGCTTATCATTGCACAGACTCTTTTACACTTCTTGGTTGATACACGGTGTAGTTTAACGCTAGTGACATTGCCCTGAAGGTAGCAGTACCATCATGGGCTGGTTGAGCACTACGACTAAGTCGTCCTGGAATCCCTTCAGTACGGGTTCCTCGGGCTCATCTCTAGGTACGTCTGTCCAACACCACATACACAATTGGAACCCACTTCTGATACTGGAAAAGTCAAAAATATATTGCCTGGGTCTTCAGACAGCGGTGGTTCTTTAGCATCGCTGGCTTTCGGTACTAAAGACCAAAAATGGTTTCAAGGCGTCCTGGGCAAATTCGGTTTCAACGGTGTTCTCGCCACCATACTTAGCTTCTTCCTCTATGCTCTCTACCTGAAGTCTGTTAAACATGATGAGAAAGGCTTGCAAACCTTGATCAAAGAGAAGGCATCCCAGTATCTCGGCAAGATCCCAGGCCTCAACAAGCTCTCTCTCCTGAAAGGACACCTGCCTTTGGGTAGACTTTCAAAGTCACTGATTCCAAAGGCAACGAAAGGTGCACTCGGAAGTATTGCTGGAAGTAGTGGTGGTATACTATCAAAACTCAATCCCTTCAATTGGAAAATCTTCAACAAGCGAAAGATCGCCGAGGAAGAGGATGATATGAAGTATCAAGCAGGTGAGCCATATGGTGACCCGGAGGTTCTGGCCCCTACCTTGCGCGATGATCTCAAAGCTGTCGGGCTCAAGGCTGGCGTCCAAGACCTCAAAGTGCTTTTGAGTGTTGTCAAGAACAAGGGCAAGCCCATCGATGACCGGGATTTGACTGTAAGTCGCACGGGAATCTAAGAATATAGCACTCGCTAACATGGCCTTAGATGGAGAAACTCATCGCCATTGTTTCGTCCTTGCCTCGAAACTCCAAAGCGAGGAAGAAGTTGACCGGCGTTCTTATTGATACGCTCTGGCAAAGTCTACCACATCCACCCATGACCTATCTCGGTAACAAATATCAATATCGGACACCTGATGGAAGCTATAACGTGGGCTACACTGTGCAATATTGGTGTTATTGACGTTGACTAACATATATACCAGAACCCCCTTCAACCAAACCTGGGCAAGGCGGGCAGCCCTTACGCGAGAAACGTTCCCAAGCTGAAGCACATGCACGGTGTTCCTCCCGATCCAGGCCTTCTTTTCGACTGTAGGTGTTAAACTGTAGTGACCTTATTGAAGAAACTACTAACCTTTCTAGTGCTCATGGCTCGAAGCGATGAAACTTTTAAAGAAAACCCAGCTGGTCTCTCATCTGTGCTTTTCTATCACGCAACGATAATCATTCATGGTACGATATACCCTCACAAGAACTTGAACGTCTGCTCACATGAATTAGATATATTCCGGAGCAACAGATTTGACCCTAACATCAGCGACACGTCTTCTTACCTTGACCTAGCCCCACTGTATGGATCCAGCCTGGAGGATCAGATGAAGGTTCGAACCAAGGTCCGCGGTTTACTCAAGCCAGACACCTTCAGCGAGAAGAGGCTCATTGGGATGCCCCCCGGCGTTAACGCTATTCTCGTTATGTATAACCGTTTCCACAACTACGTGGCCGACAACCTCCTAAAGATCAACGAGGGAGGACGGTTTTCGCTGCCCCCGACCAAATCAGAGGAGGACAAGAAGGCTGCACTAGCCAAACAGGATGAAGATCTTTTCCAGACTGCTCGACTGTGAGGACCAAACACTGACTATTGACTCAATGTTTTGCTAATCAACCAAATTATCTAGGGTTACCAATGGTCTCTACGTTAACATCTCGTTGCACGACTATATTCGTGGCCTGGCTAACGTACATCATTCATCGAGTGACTGGACCCTCGACCCTCGAGTCAAGATCAACAAAATCTTCGATTCTGAGGGTGTTCCACGAGGAATTGGTAATCAGGTGTCCGTCGAATTCAATCTCTTGTACCGTTTCCACAGCATTATTTCCCGCCGCGATGAGAAATGGATGAACGAGTTCTTCGCAGATATCTTCGGCCAGGACAAGAAAGTTGACCAGCTCACTCCACAGGAATTCATCCAAGGTCTTTATCGCTTTGAACAGAGCATTCCAGAGGATCCCAGTGCGCGCGAGTTCGGCGGACTCAAGCGTGGTGAGGATGGCAAATTCAGTGACGCCGACTTGGTACAACTGATGAAGGACAGCATGGAAGATCCTGCAGGCTGCTTCGGTGCCAGGATGGTTCCCAAGGCGCTCCGTGTTATTGAGATTCTGGGTATCATTCAGGCAAGAAAGTGGCAGTTAGCCTCTTTGAATGAGACGCGTGACTTCTTCAAACTTAAGCGCCACGAGACTTTCGAGGATGTTAACTCGGACCATGAAATCGCTGATCTTCTGCGCAAGCTTTATGATGATCCCGACATGGTTGAAATGTACCCTGGGCTGTTCCTCGAGGATATCAAGCCACGCATGGACCCTGGTATACCTTCCTGTCCTTGTCTCTGAGAACCTCTTGCTTACAAGGAGGGTAGGTCATGGTGGATGCACCCCTTACACCGTTGGAAGAGCAGTGTTCAGTGATGCTGTTACGCTTGTTCGATCGGATCGGTTCCTTACCATTGATTACACGGCTTCGAACCTCACCTGCTGGGGTTATAACGAAGTTCAACAGGACTATGACATGTAAGAACAATTATCTCCATCCTTTATCGATAATAGCTTACAAGGGTTTATCTAGTCTGGGCGGCTCGATGTTCCACAAACTGTTCCAGCGCGCTCTTCCTAACTGGTTCCCGTATAACTCATTGCACATCACCCAGCCTATGTACACGAGGAAGATGAACGAGCAGATCGCCCGGGAAATCGGTACTATCGACGAGTACACCCTTGATGACCCTTCGCCACCTCCAAAGACCGTTATCGTGACCAAGCACTCCACCATCACCAAGCTCTCGAAGGACCAAGCCAACTTCCGTGTTATCTGGGCTAAGTATCTCAATGAGATGATTCCGGGTAGAGACTTCAGTGGCTACATGCTGCTAGGCGATAAACCGGCCAACACTGCTCAGAAGTCTCTCGTCAAGGGAATCCTCTACAGTCCTGCCGAGTTTGTGCAATTGTTGTCAGAGACAGCGGTGTCCGTGGCCAAAGAGCAACTTGCCGCTGAGACATTGAACTTGACCTCGGAGCTGCACCAGGTTGACATTGTTCGGGAGTAAGTTATTTTGTCTTAGGAACCACAGTTATCCTGTTCGAAGAGAAAGTGAATCTGAATATACACTAACATCTCTTTAGCGTCGCCATTCCCATGGTGACTAGGATCCTGGCCGATCTTTTCTGTCTGGACCTCAAGACCCCTGAGAACCCGAACGGAACTTACAATGTCGCAGAGCTATACAAGTATATCATTGACGTGCGTATCTTCGGTTTCAATAATGACGATCCTGGGTTGGCTTTGCAACGCAGGAAATGGGCCCGTGAGGGTGCAGAATCTCTTACCAAGACCACGTTGAAGGTCGTGTCCAACTTGCCCGCTTCGGAGAAATCCGCAAAGGGAATTGTTAAGGGAGCCGTTTCTACAGCCAAGGGCATCGCCTCGAAGATCCCACTTGTTGGCAAGCTTGTTGGAGACGGCAAAGGAGTTGAGGGACAGTCGACAAGTGGCTCGTTGCGTTGGTACGGATACAATGTGGCTAAGGAACTGATCGCCTCAGGAAAGACTCCCGCAGAGGTTGCGGACATCAGCTGGATGAACGCTGTTGGTGGTGTTGGTGCGACTATCGGAGTGGTTCGTAATCCCGGTCTATGGAAAGTCGTATCTACTCGAGTCACAGCTGACATGAGATCTAGTTCACCGATGTCCTCAACTATTTCCTCCAGGATGAAAACTCCCAGCACTGGGAAGAGATTCAGAAGCTTGCTGCTAGCTCGGATTTAGAATCTTCAAACGGGTCTCTCCGGCAATACGTCCTTGAAGCCCAACGCTTGACCAGCACCCAACGAAGCCTCCGTCTCTGCGCGGGTAAGGCCGTGATTGATGGACAGAGTTTCGAACCCGGTAACTTGGTGATATGTCTTTTGGTATGCTATATCCTGGAAGCTTCATGAAACGAGAGCTAATTCTATACACTAGGGTGCGGCATGCAAGGACCCCGATGCTGTCCCGGACCCAGAAGCATTCAAACTCGACCGGCCATCAAGCGCGTATATCCACTTCAATGTTGGACCACACGAGTGTCTCGGTCGAGAGATTGCATTGTCCTGCATCACCTCCCTTGTCCGTGTCTGTGCTGGCCTGAAGAATCTCCGAGCAGCACCCGGTCAAATGGGAGTCCTGAAGAGCATCACCACTGGCACTGAGAAGCACTTCCTCAACGACAGCTGGTCTACCCTTACCGTCGACCCAACCAGTAAGTCCCCTGACTCTATCACAAATAACGTATACTAATTACCCCTTAGCCTGGAAAATCCACTTCGAAGGCCACGGTCAGGGCATCCATCATCCCCCTGAGATCCCAGTCACCGCAGGCCGAGACCTCAACGCCCTGTCCAACGCTCTGAAGAAACAGCACCAGGACAAGTTGCAAGAAACCGTTGCAAAGGCAGCCAACGGCTTCACAGCCCCACTGACCAAACTCACCCCATCCAACGGTCCCAGCAACGGCGCCTCCACCCCAGGCCACCTACCGCTCCCCGTCAACCCCTTCCAGAACGGCAACAGCAACGGTGTCGCAAATGGAGACGGAAACACCCACCCAAACCTCCTCCAGCAAGCCGTCTCCTCGGCCGCTGCCATTCCACAACACGCCCTGGGCACAATCCATGATGTCGCCCACAACACCGTCGGCCATTTACCCGGCGGCCAGCAAGTCACGGACTTCACTCACGGGCTGGTCCATCCCTTCGCTGGAGCTGTGTCTCCCGGCCAAACTCAACCCCCGCATCAGGGTCAGACTCAGACTCAGCCCCACCAGGGGAACTGGTTCTTTCTCCCCCATGGCATGGAAAATGCTGCCAAGCAGGTTCCGGGACATCTTTTTGGCCAGACAGCATAGGTTGGTCAGAATGTATTTTGTTGGGCTAGAAATGTATGAGAAGTGGAGGGGTTGGTGGTCGTGGAATCGGGGGGGGTTGATAGTGGTTTTATTGCAATGGGAAAGATAGTGGTAGTAGTAGCAAAATTTATGTCCTTGGTTTTGCTTTAATTTCTCTGCCGTGGATATAGTGTTTTTTTCTTTTAAAAAAAAAAAAAAAAAAAAAAACACTGGAATTGTAGGTATAGGAGCTCAATACGTCTCTGGGACTACAGATAGCATCTGAAGGAACGCAGAGAACTCTCTTGAGAAGCTAAGCAATAATTAGTTCAATGGATACTACTCAAAATTCTTGGAATTACTTCTAAAAAAAATCAGAATCTTATATCCTTTCGTTCTGTCCTCGGAGAGACCTCATAACATGACGAAGCTATAATGTCAAGGTATAGGGAGGGCTCATTGAGCACCCATACTTAACTTACAAGCAATCTCAACATCTTTCTGACATTGAGAAGGAAGATATTCATAGCAGAATAATCTGAGTAGTACATATGAACCAAAATATCACCTACTCACGGTAGGTAGCTACCAACTAGTAAATCGTAGTATTAGTATTGAATTCCATATTCCCCCATCTTTCCAATCTTTACGTTGTACAAAAAGAAAGAAAGAAAGAAAGAAAGAAAGAAAGAAAGAAAGAAAGAAAGAAAAGACATGACATGACATGACACTCAAAATCCAAGAATCAATACAGTACTGATCCTATCCACAGCCCAAACCAAAGATAACCCAAGCTACATCCCACCAGCCCAGACATCAATCATACAGTAAACCTACCATTACTAAAGCACCATCCCCGGATCCAATCCCCCAATCCCACCACCCAAAGCATACATAAATACTACCTGCACATGCAGCTTTCAGCTTTCAGCTCGACCCACCCAGCTACCCATGCACACCAACCACGCAACCAACCAATGAGAACTTCAGCAATAGGGCTACAAAAACACCCTGCAGCAGACTAAACCAATCATATCGTTTATACGCTCACTACATCATCATCATCATGGATCCATCCCACGCAGTACCTCTTACTGATCTGGTTATTACAAGGTAGTATTCATATTTGCTTTTGATGAGGACAGGGATTCGCGTACTATTGAGTACTATGTAGGTAAGAGGATATCCTGGTTATGCAGTATGCTGGTTAAATGTAGACGTTGCGTTGCGTTGCGTGGGAGGGCGGGGAGGGGGGGGGGGTTGGTTTTTCATCTGGAGGTTTGTTTGTGGGTGGGTGGGTGAGTATTGGATTGGATGATAGTTTGAGGTGTATGGGGATTATGC